GATATTATAATACTTGATCCTTTTCAATTAAGGCACAACCTCCTGGTCATACAAGATATAACCATATAAATATTATACAGAAAAATTTAAAAAATATTACAACTGGAGCACATAATTATGCAACATGAGCCGCATAATTATGTCTCCAGTTTAGTCTTTCAATATTTGCTGATGTAAATTTAACTTAATTTGCCTAAAACTAAATTATATATATAATAATATATAGTATATATGAGAGAGAGAGCAAGAGAAGAGAGGAGTAGAGGAGAGCTCGAGAGAGAGAAGAGAGGAGAGAGAGAGAAAGAGGAGGAGAGAGATGAGATGAGGAGAGACGAGAGAGCAGAGAGAGAGGAGGAGAGAGCAGAGAGAGAGCAGAGAGAGCAGAGAGAGAGAGAGAGAGGAGAGAGAGAGGAGAGAGAGAGAAGGAGAGAGAGAGAGAGAGAGAGAGAGATGAGAGAGAGAGAGAGCAGAGAGGAGAGAGCAGAGCACAGAGATGAGAGAGAGAGAGAGAAGAGAGAGAGAGGAGAGAGGAGAGAGGAGGGCAGAAGAGAGAGTAGAGAGAGAGCGAGAAGAAGATGAGAGAGAGAGCAGAGAGAGAGAGAGAGAGAGAGAGAGAGAGAGAGAGAGAGAGAGAGAGAGAGAGAGAGAGAGAGAGAGAGGAGAGAGAGAGAGAGAGAGAGATGCAGAGAGAGAGGAGACTGAGAGAGAGAGAGAGAGAGAGAGAGAGAGCAGAGAGAGAGAGAGAGAGAGAGAGAGAGAGAGAGAGAGCAGAGAGAGAGAGTTGAGAGAGAGGAGGAGAGAGAGAGAGCAGGAGGAAGAGAGAGAGAGAGAGAGAGAGAGAGAGAGAGAGAGAGCGAGAGAGGAGAGCAGAGAGAGAGAGAGAGAGCAGTAGCAGCAATGGCGCCACCATGGGGTGGCTGGGGGGTGGATCTATATAATCTACCTCAGTCCCTATATGCACACTTGCTGTGTAAATGTAGCTTCGAGATAAGTCCGCATATAGCACCCTCTAATCGGATTGCTGTCCATAAACCGCTCCTACATAGAAATGTCAGAGCTGCCCTTTGCTATAGCTCTCGTTTACGTAGCCTTTCATTCCACAACAGAGTAGTGAAGGCGGAGTGCATGCCATGGCTACATATATAAGTAACGCTCCAACACACTTGCTACATTACACCGCCATGGCCTGGCATCGTGGTTTCATCATATTTCCTTGGTCCCGAGTTTTACAAAACATTTTTCGATAGGCTGTTCAGATAAGCTTCATCGATAGCTATTTAGATAGGCAGCGGAAAAACACGACCTTACTCTGTTTTTTTCTGCGTTGAAGGGAGGTGGTAAAATCCTCGATACTAGAGGAATTCGGAGGACCTTCTGATACTGGAGTCTTCTCCCCCTCCGTACAACACACGCTATACCTGACAATAAAAACCGCGATGGCCAAGGTTCAGGAGGTATGCCGGCATTAGATACCTACTTAGGCCGTAAACGGAATCGTAAACTAATAGCATAGAATAATTCCCTAATAATTATGTAGTAATATGCTATGAGCACATTATTTGCTAATAGAATTTAACTAGGTAACCTGATTTGGGGTGTTGGGTTCATTGCAGCTGTCGTGATGGGGGAATATTTTAACAACCGAAATTGAGAACAAAGCAAACACAATCATTCAATTTCTACGCCATTACCGGAAGCTACGATGAACCTAGCTCTAGTGCTATAGCCCGCTAACGCCCTGCAGCAGTTAATGAAAGCGGGCTATAGTACTAGCTAGAGCTACGATAAACCCAACAGGTTATGGGCCCAGCACGCTTCCACTGAACACTTTCATTCATGTCTACATTCCAGGTTTACATTCTCACTGCTTGTATTACAATGACCGAAATATTTGCACAAGGTCTCAAACAATTCAGGGGTTTTCAAACCTAGGTTTTTGCCTATATGCATAACACGTGCCTTGTCCCCACGCAGACTCGATCAACACCCGGATGTATTTAATCACGTAGACACAGTTATGTGATTCATAAGCTAGTCTATAACAATTTGAAGAAATTCTAGCAATAAAAACTCTGTAATACCTCTATCTCAGATTGACCTCATGGAGATAGAACTACCAAATGTTCACGCCTACAACGTGGATTACACAAAGTTTCCTGCGCTCAACTTCAAGGGATCAGTGAATGAGGTAGGGGCGGTTCACGTGCACGCTCACAGCTCATGTGTTACTGTATTAGCTGAAATATAACATTGGGGATCATTGAGAAAGTAGATCATTAAGTAGAGCTCGCTGTGGGAACAGCTAGAACTTTTCAGAATTCCACCTTCGAATATAAATACAAGTGCTACGGAACGACTTAAGTAGACTATATAGTGCTTAGAATAAACTGCTCGTTTTTTGATTTTCCTATTCCATCCATGCGTGACGTGAGCCGTATAGCTCAATATAACGTATTTTGCTATATATTCTGCATATAACTAAAAGCTAATTAATAATACCAGGAGTCTATCAATATTGATATAGACTCCTGATAATACGTTTATGCATTAATTAGCATACGCAATGTATTACATAATTATCATTACGTGATTAGCATTACATTATGTATTATTAGCTCTTGATATAACGAATAATGCGGGTTGTGTATTTTCAGGTATTCATGCCCGTTGATAAACCATCCGGCAACATCAAAGCCACTTTGGCAAGAGCAAAAAAGGCCAAGCTGTAATCCACCATTTTTGTAATCTTCGGATGGCACTTGTACTTTGTCCATAAAATTGACATCGAGGAAATATTATAGAGACGCAATACTTAATTTCAGTGGTGGGTATCATGATCAGTAGCTGGTAGTGCTTGCGTGATGACTGTGATAATTAACTATTGTTCAGGGGTGTGTACATTGGGGGGGGTCCAGGGGGTCCAGACACCCCCCCCTGCTCTCGCAAAAAAACGCATCTAAGGGGGTCTAATTTCAAAATTTTTGATGCGTGCTCGCAAGTTTGGGTTACGGTTAGACCCCCCTCCCTGGTACAAATCCTGTACATGCCCCTGCTTGTTCACGTATCTACAGTAATAATTAACACACCCGGATGCATGAGTTAACCACGTTCCCTGTGATATTGTTGCTAGGTCGATTATGCTATACCTGTCTGCACAAGAAATATGAGAACAACTTACATGCACAAAAAGTATGACTTGCACACTTATTTGCATTGTGGTCCTTTCTACATTACTGTTCATAATAATAACACTACCATTAGAACTTTGAACTATGGAAATATCCAATTTTTTAATTTTTACATAATATACATACACTGATTATTAAACCGAATGTTAAACAAATTCAACTGATGATTTGATATGATTCGATATTAACACGTGTACGCTGGTAAGATGTACACGTAAGGGATTACACAGAGGGATTACCAGTTGCATAATGCAACTTTGTGGTATCTGTTATAATGCTACAAAACAAATTTGTAGGTTACAAATAAAAATGTAGAGAGTTCTGTATAATACATACATATTCATTTATTCCTCTAAACATTCTCGGACACTCCGAAAAGAAGCCAGCACAAAATCATGCAAAAATGTATTTAAAGACGATTGTTTACTACATCGTTGGCGACACATTCCTGTATAATATAGGTGCCTCATTAGAACGATCGTGTCTTGCAGTCTTCTAGCTTTACCCTCTCAAGGGCCAATTAGGAGCAATATAACAGAAGGTCTGATACGATTACGCACTTTAAATGGCACAGTGCTGCGGTCCCCACACTCGGATTAACCCCAGGCTGTTCCTAGCACACTAATGCCTATAACTATCAGACAATTGCAGTAGAGGGTATTCTTGCATTCTGTCAGCATTTCAACATATCCATAAAATATTATATAAGTACATCAAGTAATATGTTACAAGGTCGCACACCTATTGACATCATTTAAAAAATAATAGGTCTGCCATCAGTTTTACAGATGTATTCATAAGTATGCAACAAAATTCCATAAACCATGTGGGCAAAACTGTTTTTTTTTTAAATCGGGTCTATCACAACTGCACATTCCAAGCGACACGTAAATAAATCTTTACTAGAACTGTTCCTACGCTACACGAGCACGTAAATTCCGTGCGCATAACCAGACCATAGTGTCAACAGGAAGTAATCATTGCACCCGGGGGGATATACCACTTCCTCTCGTCCTACTTCTTACAACTCACAAGATCTTAATTCCATCTCTGTAGACATTTAAGAGTACATCTTATGAGTCTTGCAGCACGACTACGTGAGGGGATGACCAAATACTTTGCAGCATGCACTCACAGTCTCACAGATAATTATCCCACCATCATGCGCATGTGGCACGTAATTCTTACATTGCTTCACAAACACAGAATACCATTACGTGATGCAAACGAAAAACAATGCACACAGACACGCACCAGTCCACTGCCTTTCGCCATCAGTACTGAGCTGTAACCAACTTTCGCTGGTTTTAGGTAATTGCAGCCAGTTATAGTCCGTCATTAAAAATAAACTTGCAGATGCCCAACGATGGGTCCATACAGGGTTCACCCATATACGGTTTCATACAGGGTTTATCTAGGCATAGCTTAATACAATCTTCATCAGTTCATCTGGTGATGGCTCGATACAGACATCATACCAGGATGGCTCCACACAGTGTTCATGCGAATCCAGGCAGCTGATTGGTGGGCGTCATCAAACATCCGACGCTATACAGCATGCCGAACGCGAGATTCATCTTCGCGAGCCGCGTCGGCAGCCGTCGCAGGTCGCGACCCCTGTACTGCCGCTCCATGCGGAACGCTACAGGCAGCGTGAGCAGCGGCAGCAGCAGCCACGCCGCGCCGCAGTGCAGCGCCGCCACCGTCAGCATCATGTACGGCGCGAACAGCAGCAGCACGAAGAGCGCGTACGCCGCGGTCGCGCCGAGCAGGATCGGCAACGTGACGATGCCGGCGCGCGCGTCCGTCGCGGCGTCGCGCGCGTTGTTAGCGTGCAGAATCGCCTCCGTGTTGAGCGCGAGCGGGATCGCGTACGCGAGCGGCAGCAGCGACAGCCGGCCCGCCTGCGCGATGAACGCAAACAGCACGCAGACGGGTCCGAACGTGACGACGATGACGACGTCGCCGAGAGCGATGTACTTCAGGCCGAAGCCGCCCGTGTAAAGGAACGAGCTGGACAGCCCGCCGAAGTAGATCAGCGCAAGATGCTCCATGCGCGCGGGCGACAGCCAGTCGATCGCGACGAACCCGACGCAGCCGAGAAAGTACAGAAGTGCGCCAAAGTTGATCACCTCCTCGGTGGTGAGGATCGCGTCGACGAGGGTGCGGTCGTCCGCCCGCGCGCTGTCGATGCCGCGGTGGTAGTCGAAGAACGAGTTGACGAGGTTGCCCGCGCCGTGCACCGACAGCACGGTGAAGAGCGTCGCGATCAGCGCCCCCGCGTGGAACGCTGCCGCGTCGCCGCCGCCGGACTTGTACGCGAGCGCGGTGCCGAGGGCGACAGGCGCGAGAGACGCGCTGAACGACCACGGCCGCAGCGCCATCCAATAGGAGGCGAGGCGTGGGTGCGTTGGCCGCAGCGCGTCGTAGACGGCACTAGAGTGCAGGCGCCGCATTCGCCGCGACTCCGACGGTGTCGCCTCATTGCTAGGCTTGCCCGTCGCCGCGGCAACGTCGTCGTGCTCCGAGCTCGACTCCGACGCGTTGCTCGCCGCCGCGCTGTCGTCTGCCGCGGTTTCCGTGGTTACGTCGTCGTCGTCGTCGCGGCGGGCTTTGCGCACGTCTTTGGGAGAGAAGTTGAATCGTACCTCAGGTACTCGTAGCAGTCTGGTGCGGCGTGACTGTGCCATCGTAGCGACGCGGGGGGCGAGAGATCGCTGGTTACCTGCACGACATAATCACACATCTAACAACTATAGCTATAGCTATACGTCATAACATATATATATATATATAGCTACACATAGTTCTATACATCATAACATCAATAGCTAGACATAGTTCGTATTAGTTCTATATATAACACAGTAGTCCTATATATCCTAACCTATAATATAATTGAATAACCTAACATTATGGCTATATAGACCTATATCGCCTAACAGATTTAATAACATTTAACAGTCCTATATATCTGTCCAACATATATGACTATATATAGTCCTGTAATTAACCTTAAAAATAAATATAAAGACCTAACAAGTAAAATGGGAAGATGAATGACCTGATTTGTTACTGTTCAGCCTGCATCTATTGCTGGCTTCCTTCAGAACTCTGTGTTACGCTTGTGGCTCCACCTGTTGGTTCATTAGACGTTTCTAATTGATTTTTCTTCTGCTCAGCTTCCTTCGCAATGTTGTTATGGAGTTTAGTAAGTCTTCCCTGGTGATGTTCAGCCTGCATCTATTGCTGGCTTCCTTCAGAACTCTGTGTTACGCTTGTGGCTCCACCTGTTGGTTCATTAGACGTTTCTAATTGATTTTTCTTCTGCTCAGCTTCCTTCGCAATGTTGTTATGGAGTTTAGTAAGTCTTCCCTGGTGATGAAAAAAGAAGCCATGTAAAAAAAATTACTCGTTTTCTTTTCGTACAAGCACGCAGTAAAACTCGTGCAAAGACAGAACTTCATAAAAGGCAATTTACTGGGTTTACTGAACTGACTATTAAAATTAGTTTGATAATAAATTTATGTTTAAGTGACTAACACATAATACATGGAACAAACTACGATTCCTTAATGATATGTGTGCAATTGCCAAAAGGCAACAAGGCATTTCAAAGCAAAACCCATGGACACAGTTAATGCTACAAAATACACAGTGGGTGACTTTACCGTAAATTCTGACGATATACAACCTCATTATTATGCCTTGGAGACAAGTACCATATATACTCGCGTAATAACCGCAAATTTTGCCTCAGATTTCAACCCTGTATTTGCTCTGCGGTTTATAAGTGCGCCATACCGTGAGGGGAAATATACTAGGCGCAATACTTGGTTACCCGATTCAAATTGAGGTGCGGCTTATAGGCGCCCGCGGTTATTACGCGATCATATACGGTAAAGCAAGCCTTACAGCTTTCGTTGCTACAATGCACCGTTTCTGATATAAATCTTTCATGTGTAAATCTTTCATGTGTTCTCGTTATTTCTATGTGTCTACCTTGCACGCATTCCATACATTAAACCGTTAAAAATTCACCGGTAAAAGCCGACTGCCTTTCCGCTACCTGTCAGCAAATGCTACATACTACAGCAGGGAAAAAAATATTATTTATTTTTCGGGGGGGCTACTTTTTAAGCTCGCGTGGATAAAAATAGCACTCTAAAATTTGGTTTGCATTGAACTCTATGCAAATTTACGGGGGCTCGTTTTGCCATTTCCGGGGCTCTTTTTGGCATTTCGGGGGCTAAATCGCCCCGAGCCCCCGTGTATTTTTTTCACTGTACTACAGACAATCAATGAAAATGCCAGCAGATGGCGGTACCTGCACGTTCTGTAGAATGTTGTTGACGATAACCGCACGGCGCTTCGTGTTCGTCAGCTTCTTTACGTAGTTGTCGAGCTCCAGAGGGATGAAGCCCTGATCCTCAGACACGCGTCGCAACTCTACACAACGACACGACGAGAACGGACGTTACACATCGTTCCCACGGCGAACCGGTAAATTCCACGAAAACGCACGTTAGCAAACAGCCGAGTAGAGGCTACATGTGTGACTCACTGGTACCTGCTCCACTCCTGCTAGAGTACGATCAGAGTCGTAGAGAAAGTTGTACATTAGATGCCTGGACTCCTTCCAAGGTACGATGCTATTCTTCTAGGGCACAATTCTTTGCACATATATATGCATGCACTTTTCACAATGTATGATAATACTCTGTAGCGAATCACGGCTCTTCACATCTTCCGAAGGTTTATTTAGGAGTTAATTCTCCGAGAAGGAACAGAAGTGCTGGTCACAACGTGCATAGTTATTAGATGTATCGAGCAGAGTAAAACTCGCAGTTGCGAGGCAAATCATTGCTTGAACTGCACAGTAGGGGCTTATACCATTCATATTATGCGTAGGCGAAGCCTATCCCTCCTACGTAATACAATTACGCAATACTGTTGGCAGTCAGTACTATAGGAAAAGAAGCAGACAGGTGATCAAACACTGCACACCTACACAACGTCAGCGTTCTTGCGTTGAGCGAGACGATATTATGTCATCACAGCAAGGAAGCTAGCTTTTAATTTCCTACTAGACAGGAAGGAAGACTGCACATGCGACGACAACACGTGATTACGAATTCACATGGTGAACCACCGTCAAACAGATTTTTCTTGACGACGAGCGATTGGTTAGATTGTTATGCGACTTATACTGATATTCCATGCTTAATAGCATGAAGAAAACACATCGTAGAACGAACATGTGTAAGCATATACACTAACTCATGCATGCCTGCCTACGCAATCCCACAATGCATGTATATATATATATATATATATATACACACAACTATTTACCGAGAATACCAACCTTCTGCCAAGGTTGCAATCTGTACTCTAAGTTCTGCTTGGCTCTGCCTGAAAAAAAGAATCACAGTTTTATACGCGAATAAATCTCAGATATGAATAATGAAACAATCTGAGTTACAAAATATTAACAAGATTATTAGTCAACAATTTTTGTACCCTATTTATGCTTCTATACAACAGATAGATTTATTTGATATAAAATATGTCTTGCAGAGAAAATCTGCTTGAAAGATTATTGCAAATCTCTACTATTTGTATGAGCCAGTGTATATTCAATAATATTTATCTAGTTTCATTCAATTACAATACAATTCATTCTATTTGGTATATATAGCTTGCAGAAAATTAGGTTTTCTATATAAAACTTTATATTAATGAATGAACAGTTTCAAACACATTATTTCTTACTTAATAGACTCATGAATAATTTGTTTTGGTAACACTATGTAGTACAACCTCCATGTTTACAAACACACAGGGTGCGAAATTAACGGGAGTCAGGAGTCAAATACTCCCTGATTTACTGCCAGACTCCCTGATTTGACATATATGCAGGAGTCCGTGTGACTCCCTAAAAATTATGCCATACTAACTAGTTCGTTCAGGAGCACGGCCTCGTGGGATTACCGTACTTTTTCAGCTAATGTACAAAGAAAATTTGGCAGACGTGCAACCGCATGAATCTTAAAAATAAGCACATGTATGCGTTATTGTTAATATCTTTAATTTTGAACCTCAGACTGCAGACTCCCTCATTTTGCTGCGGACTCCCCTCTTTTAAGGGAAGGGTCCAGTCCGTTGGACTCCCGTGTTCAAAAGTTAATTTCTACCCCTGAACACATATTGCATCTTTCTTCAAATTTGTTTTTCAACGTGATAGTCACAATTATAAACAGTAAGGTAAGTCAAATATTGAGTTTTAAAAGTGTCCATATAACTGTGACAAAAAACAACCTATTGATTAGAATATACTCTATGCATTAATTGAACCCTGGCATGAGTTCCTCTGGTTTCATAACAATGGTAAAAGTAATTTTGATAACCAAAAACAAGTGGACCTACTAGCATTTATCTTTTCTTTCTCTGCAGTGAATACTTCACAGATTCAGTTATTACATTTATTAATTGTGAAATGGTGAGTGACGAAATGATAAATGATTACATCGTAAGATTTAGTGCTTCGCCTGTATAAATTACAAAGCGTAAATTTTTTTTTTTAGTTGCATAATAGCACAGGCAACTTGGAACGTCTCAATAAAAAAATAATGGAAATAAACACGAAATTCGACCAAAGTCTTAATGTTTCTCGTACTCTCTTTGCCTGTCACGCTTACGTTGCACACCGCTGTAAATCGATCAAATGCTTATCTGCAACACAGCAAACCAACAAGCAAAATAACAACCAGAAAAAAAATAACGACCCCGCCGCGCCCACGCTCGTGCCTGCGTGCACAAATCCAACGATGAATAAGAGAGTGATAAAGTGAAATAGAGAGGATGAATAACTCTCTTATCATGTTGTTGTGCACGCCAGCACAGCGGCGGCGGGCGTTCGGTGTACTTGTGTGTTGGAAAAAAAAAAAAAAAAAAAGAAAAAAAAAAAAAAAAAAGAAAAGAAAAAAGCGATAAGCCATTTGACTCGGCATTTACAGGTGATCATAGCGCGAAATAGGAGTAGAGAAACATTAAGACTTTGGTTACATTTCGTGTTTATTTACCATTATTTTTTTTATTGAGACGTTCCAAGTGCCTGTGCATAGTAGGCCTATGTTTACTCTTTCTATTTTTCCCTTTTTTCGATCCTTTTGTCTGCCTTGGTTTATCATTACATAATACGTAATTTGCACACAGGATGTGACATATTGCGACGGTATACGCGCACATGACACACAGCAGATAATCAATGTGTTGTGACCACTGTTCGAAATTGCGTCAACACATCCTCATAATGCTAACATTGCTGCATGGTGATCCCATTTATTCATTGCACGTTTCTATTTCACTGTAGTCTCGATGTATTGACTATATATTGATAAAATGAATAGCTCAAGCCTAGTTTAGCATCCCAGACTAGTTTAACACATATGAGAAAACATATTGCGGGGGTCCCAAACTATACTTGATCCAAAACTTGTACCTAGTTCAGTAGTTGTAGGCCTACTTCAGTTCAAGTACTTGTTGTAGTTGTACCGTACAACAGCATGCCCAACAACTTGAACTTCATCATGAAGTTCGTGGTAACATTATAAAAACAATAGCACGTAATAATTCTAGTAATACTGGCACAATACATTAATAATAATATTACCGACATGATACTGTCCACAGGCACTTGAAGCGTTTCAACTGTAAACACACGCCGCCGCCGCCATTGCGCGTACACTGACACATAAATATATAGCAGGTGAGAAAGCGCGATCAACCAAAAATTCCGCGGGGATCGACGCTCGCTGCATTTTCTCAACGATTTCCAACAGCAAATACACATCCAAAGCTTCGCATCTTGTTCTCCTTTCAAGAACAGTGTTCATTGTTAAATAAACATAATGTCTCTGTTCATAACTTGAGGCTGTGTCACGTCGAATACACAAAGACTGACGAAATTCTCGCGTTCGTTAGCCACTGCGCACGATGCGTAACGAGAACTTTCGCCCATGCGTTAAACGTGTCTACGTCACGAATTTCCTGAAAATTTATAGTTGAAAACTTATATTTTTTTTTTTGTAGATTTTTTTACATCAAAGTTACTAACGTTACTAAATATATCCTAAAAAGCTCTCCACCTGATATAAATGTTTTTACGTTGGTTAAATTGCAAAAATCTTTGATCGATTTGAATGTAGTGTTTTTACCTAGACTATTTACACAATACTGGCGTCCACTCGGTGCTCAGTGCTGCTGGTTGCGGTGGTGCGATGTCATGCTTGATTTGTGTATGGTGCACCAAAGTGGGGCCCACAACAGTTTTTCTTGTTTCTGATTTGTGTGGCTATATAAGAATATTACAATATAGGAAAATAAATAATTAGTTCACTGTGTATTCATGTTGCTGAAAATTATTATTAAAACTCGAACCGCTGCGAAATGTTGATGTTGGGTTTTTTAATTTTCTGCCAACAAAATGTTTGTGACAGTCCCCTTTCAGGATCGCATCAGAAGCTAGATAAACTAAGACGCATAAACAAGGGTGGGCAGAACAGTGCATCGGAAAGAAAACGAAAGAAAAAAAGCAGAAGAGATTATAGTGAGAAACTCGCCGGCTTAAGTTTACAAGGAATTTTCATGGGCTGCCGACAAATAATCTTTGCCAATGCCTCGTTTACCGATGTTCGCTATATCGGCTAGCTGCGTCTGGGGCCACAGCAGATATGTTTCGAATTCATGCGGATTGTTGTGAAACGAACGTTTGCTTACATCGAATGCCCACGGGCAAATTAGGGAGTTAAGGACAGGCTATATGAGATGAAAGTAAATAGAAACTCTAATTGTATTCTTCATACTTTTTATGTTGTCCATAATAACAGCACAAATATACTACCTTGCTTGGTGCTCTGAGAAGTTCGTGACGTAGACAGTTTAAGGCGGCGAATTTCGTTAACGATACGCGGTGCGGGCAGTTCGGCGCTTTCCACCTGCTACTAATATTATATATGTCAGTGTGCGCGGCAATGGCGGCGCAGTGTGTTTACAGTTTGAAACGCCTTCAAGTGCCTGTGATACTGGTCAGACACAAGTGCGTAGCTAGGATTTTTTCAGCGGAGGGCCTGGGGGGCCTTACATTTCGTGGGGGGGGGACAATATATAGACTTTTCTTTGTATTATACTGTTCTAACCGGCATTTGATTTTTAATTCTTTTTTTTTTATCAAGCATGAATTTCCAGTAGGGGGGCATGCACCTGCGGGGCACAGAAAATTTGGGAGGGGGCAGACGGTGCACGCGCCCAGGCCCCCGTAGGCTTACGCCCCTGGTCAGACATTCAGATAATCATAACATGATAATGTACCTAGTAATGTTATTCTATCTATACTATAGTCTATAGGCTATAGCCGGCCCATATATATGCAAAATTTTATTTTGGAATTCTAATCTATCTCTAACCTTGTGTCGCGCACTCTTTCATCGACTTCCTCAACAAGGGGTTTTAGTAGACCGAGAATTCCATCAGCTAGTGCATCGCGCGAAGAAATGTCTAGTAGCCTTTCTGAAATAGTGTCATTTGTGTAGGTAGAATCCGAATCACTCACAGGATGTTCAGCCATTGTCCATTACAAATTCAACCATACACGAGATGCCGCAGCGACTGACCGACCGGTGTTATGGCATGCTGCTGTTTTCGTACATCATACATGTATACCTTTGTCACACTTCTTACATAAATTTATTTATTTATTATAGAATCTTTTATTTTATTTATTTTTATTTTATTCCCAATATATTTAAGTACACAAATTTTAAATAAAAAAGCTTGGATTATTTTAATAGTAGACGTTATCGGCAATAGATGACGCTGCCAATTTTATCGATACTAGATGGGTTCTCCGTCTATGCTATAAATACTGACGCTAGGCTCTGGCAAAGTGTAGAGACACGGTACTAGTCTAAATTTACACCTGCAAAAAGTGCAAATCTCGTCTGTTTTCTTTTCACCGCACTTCACTGCATGTTGAACATAAAGAGACCGGAATGGACCGAAACGGACTTCAATTTGCATAGATATTCAGTAAATATCATGGAGGTTTTCATAGGTATTGCCATAGATATAATTATTTTCCAGCGGCCACACGACATCGTTGCAATGCTAAATTCTGGTTGAAATACACAGAGAGAGAGAGAGAGAGAGATCTAGCGAGAGAGAGAGCGAGAGCGTGAGAGAGAGAGAGATCTTCTTCTAGCGAGAGAGAGAGAGAGAGAGAGAGAGAGAGGAGATAGAGAGAGAGAGAGGAGAGAGAGAGAGATCTTTTAGCGCGCGCGAGAGAGAGATACACATTACACACACGCGCGCGCGCGCACCCCCGTTTAGGTCCATCTCGGTTCGTTGCGGTCTGTTCGGTCCGACTCCGTTGCGGTGTTTCTTATCCTGCTAAACGTTTCCGTGGTCGTGCTGAAAATGTAAGTAAGCAGTTTAGTCATTTATCATGAGAAATTCAATTAGCAACTGTTAAATTTCCCTAGCAGTGAGTTCGGTTGTGGTTTATTATGCAGTAACATGTATGAATAGATTGTAAATACAGTCGGTTACTACGGTACCCATTGCGGCAATGCCAGGCAGTGGCAGTGCCACACAGTCACACTGACAGTAGCTCCAAGAAACGGTATTGCTAGGGTTACAATACCCATGTATACCCATAGGGTTACAATACCTATGTATAGACTATAGACATTCCGTCGCACAGCCTGGTCGGGCTACACTGACAGCTAATTTTGTTATTTCATTATTTGTGCACAGCGGCGTGCGTGCTGCAGGATCAAGGATAGTTTAGGACCCCGCAAATATGTTTTCGCATAATTATGTGTAAACTAATCAGGGGTGCTAAACTTGGCTTGGGCCCGTGCGGTGTATTGCAGAGAAGCATTTGAACAGCCTTTACAGGAAATTATTGTTAAAATAATAGACGGAAGAGCGTAGAGAAACAGTCTTTGGTAGTGAATGCATTTTGTGTTTATTTACCAGCATTTTACTATTGAAACGTTTCAAGTGCCTGTGTAGTAGTCAGGGGCGTAAATCCGTACCGAGGAGTTGGGGGGATGATCGGCGATAGCCATCACATACTAGCACGAGCACAAGCCCACAATAATTTACGCACACGCGCGCGATCGCGCACGAACACACACACACACACACACACACACACACAAACGAACTAGACAGAGGGCACTCACGGAGAGTGCATACCTCCGCCAGCATGTAACATGTATGTGTTACGAGCTGGCTCGCCGCTCGCTGCTGGCTGCTGCTGACTGATTCGCCTGCTGCTGACTCGCCGCTCGCTGGTGGCGTCTGCTGACTCACTGCTCGCTGGTGGTTGCTGCTGACTAACTCGCCTGCTGCTGAATCGCCGCTCGCTGACTTGACGCGCTATCGATCGCGCCGCGCGGACTGGACACACACACACACGAACACACACACGAGACCGATTACATTACCTCCCCTCCACTCCGTTACTCCGTTAACTCCGTGGGCGGAGGTAACGAGACCGATTACATTACCTCCCCTCCACTCCGTTACTCCGTTAACTCCGTGGGCGGAGGTATCAAACAACAAACACACACACACACAAACACACGTACATACATTTATTTCATACATGTATACATACATGCACGCACATGCCAAATTTGACAACCATTTAAAGTAAAAAATTTGGACATATTTCGAAATACTAACAGCTGCAAACTGTAGTGTTTTATTATAATGAACTCCGAAAGAGTGAATATTGATCTGTAATTTCTAGTTACTTGCTAAATCCGCAGTTACAAAGAACATGTAAAGAACATGAATTCTCTTGAAATGCTCTTAATATGCAAAGCCTATGCATTTCCCCAAATAGATTTTAATATGAAATGGATTAGTTAGTTGAATGGAATGCTGAGCCATGCGATAACAATAAAACATTTTGATTATTATAGTTATTATACATCTGATCGGGTTCACAGAAAACAAAAACTATTTCCTGTTGAAATGACAGGTCAGATAGGTCAGATGTTAACCCTTAACGTGCCACGTTCATGTACACTCGCACACAGCGGAGTGCCCTGTGCATGTATCCTCGCATAAAGTGGAGTGCCAAGTTCATGTATACTCGCATTTGTCAATAAAATCATTGCTATATCCATTGAATTGTACGCATTGAATTGTATGCATTGTATTGCGCACTTGAGTGACTCTATTGTGTAGTGCACACCAAAGTCCTTCTTCTAGGCGTGTTTTTTTGGGGGTGGAAAACATGTGCATTGTAAGTTATATTCCTTTTTTTTCTCTTAAAGCCAAAAATTAATCTGGCACAGGAGGATGAGTACCATGGCACTAGGCTCAAAATCTATGGCACATTAAGGGTTAAATGATGTCTTGATTGTTTGACTTAGAGGTTAGAAATTACCAAAAATGTTCTTTCTGATATCTGACCTGGCTACAAATTCCTTTGCAACATGTCCAATGTCAATTTGGTCGAGGATCTCACTGTGGACGTTGCATACAGCTGTGGTTAATTTTGCCCCTCCGCCGTCCATCAATTTCATTCCGCATTTGGAGTTCACAGGGTTAGAGACCCTGTACTCTAAATGATCGTGACCTACTGTATACGTGTAGGCTATACAGTTATACATACATTTAAAAAAACTCATTTCTCATGCATTATGCTGAAATTGAAACAATCACATTTCTTTCTTTTTTCTTCTTCTTCCTTCTTTCATTTTTTTCTCTTTTTTTTTAATCTTAGGGGGATATTTGTACAGGCCATCCCCCCCTCCTTCAAGAGCGGGGGGGATGCATCCCCCCATCCCCCGGGATTTACGCCCCGGGTAGTATCTAGTACTAGTAATCTAGTATAGTGGTATTGCAATGGGCAATGCATGGGGCAATTTTACTACTACTAGTAGTATTACTTTTTATATTATTCGTTTGGACGCTCCAATTATTGTCGCTTTTGTTCAGTTGTATACCATCAACTAGGGCCTATATCATTGGCATTGCCACATATATATATATACCAGGTGACTAGTTGCAAAAGCAATCACCAAGTCGGCTCCGTAATTGCAAGCTGTTTATATGCAACACTTGTAAGATTAATTTAGCAAAGGGTGATCCATTAGTTATGTTTGCAATGTGTTTGTAAGTAAAACGCATTATTCGTTTATATTTTCAGTCCGATTCATGTGAATTGTATCAGATGAGAATGCCACGTCTGCAGCCTCTGCTTTGACAATGTGACAATGCGTTCTCACCACGTCAATGTAATGAAATGTCTTCTGCTGGCCACTTGCTTACTGGTTTCATGTATTGGTAAGCTTTGTCCGAATTTATCTGATTTTATTTGTGTATTTTGGTAATTATCAATTCATACATTTTAAACAAGATGCACATAAATAAAATATGCAGATGCATAATAACGTGAACATATATATATATATATATTCTAGATTTTAAACTTGTCTTGTAATCTTGCGTGATTAAGCCATGTTGCTATAATCTATATTGAGCCAAGTAATGCCGCTAGAGAGTACTGCAGGCCGTAACTATGACAACATATAGTGTGTTATTCCATGTATTACATGGTGAAAATAACTGATAGTAATGGCAACACCATATTAGACTCGATCTGCAACAATAAATAATGAACTCCATATGACATAGATGGACCCATATAATAATGATGAATTTGTATATTACGGGATGTTGCTATATATATATAAATAAATATATATATATATATATATATATATATATATATATATGCAAGCAAAAAATCCATTTTATTGTGTTCATGATTATGTTGACAATGTATTTCAGGTAGGATCTGTGAAGCCGCATGCAGTGATAGATGTAGGAATGGTGCAACGTGTATAGACCAGGAGGACTCCTTGTCCTGCGTGTGCGCACCGGGATGGACCGGACTCTTCTGTGATCTCGTGAGTTCTGCTTGACGGGGAGTATGGTCCCATCTAGAAAATCGGCGGATATTTTGCTTGATAGATTGTGTGAAGTGGAGTGCTGGAGTGGTTGTATGATGTTGAACCACTGCACTACCCCATATGGATTTAAAGAGCTTTTCACTCGGTGACATTGAGATGTAAAGTTAGTGATGAACAGTTATTATGCTTGAAGTTAAATAATATGCACCTGCTCTTTGATTTTACCCAGTGGTTCGAACAAACTGTCGGATGTCTTGTGATAAACCAGAGTCCAAGATCATTCGTGCGATATATAATCTTCTTGTTTTTTTTTAAACGGGTTTTATTATTGTAGGTCATCGACGAATGTGCGTCGTCGCCCTGCAAAACAATGGAACGTGCTTTGATGGAGTGAACAGCTATGCGTGCCAGTGCGCGCGGGATTCCAGGGTGCGGCGTGCGAGGAAGATGAGATGAATGCAGTCGGGTGCCGGCAGTCTGTCAGACTACGTGTCGTGTGAGAAACACCTATGGAAGCTTCCATTGCAACTGCATCCAAGGTGAGGTGCACATCATGCATATATCTGGCGCTAGTCAGGGTCATGAAATCCAAGGACCGTGTGCATACAGCGTATTATATCGTTAAGTCGTGTCGAATCAGGAAGAACATCTTTATTAATACAATCTAACCTGTGCTAAAAGACAACTCTATATAAGGTACATCTACACATTAAGGGGGATTTTGGCAAATATAGCATCCGGGTCGCTCGTGACACCTTATGCGGTTTGACTACATAACAATACAACACGCGCACAGTGTATATATATAAATCATAATATACTATGTATATATATGGGTCTGTCCATAGTGCAGTTAAAAATGTTGGCTGTAACCAAAACATTGTGGTTTTTTTATCAAAACTATTTCACACAGGTCATTTAGGTCTTATATGTCGGGAAGAATACAGCAAATACTTATAAAATGACATAAAACATGGTCAGATTTATCAGAATTTAAGTCTGAACAGCCCTTTTTCTTTTCAGAATGGGACTTTTCACAGTGTAAAATTGTGACATTTATGATGAGCTTTTTTATGCCAAAATTTTCACCAAAAAAACCGAGTTTATAACTGCAATAAATACCTGTATGTGAAATTAGATATGATCTTCTTTCTGTTCTTGTTGATTTTGTCTGTTTTTATGGCTGCAATTAGTGATTTATGTCCAAACTCAAGGTGCGTTGTGGTCGTGATGAATTCCGTCAAGAAAGTTGATGGAAATGGACTTGTTTTTTTTCACCAAGAAAAACACGATGAAATTAATTTGAAGTTGAATCTTAGTCTTGGGTGTCAATCATTTGATATCAATTCATTGTCCAACAATATTCCCCATCGTCCGCTATGCCGAAGAACATTGCATGTCAAAAAAGTTTTATTTCCCGTTAATGAATCACGGCCACAACAAGCCAATTAATTTTCTCGAATTTTATTTATAACCTTTCTGAAACGAGGTCAGGCAGATCACATGATGGAGTAAAAATGTGCATAAAACGATGCCGTATTACACACATCCTGGAATGCAGCTGCAATGGCGCCCACTTTGAGGTTTCTGATTTCTGTCAATTGTTTTTTGCTTAATCACGACCAAAACGATGCATCACGACCGAATGTTTTTTATCATGCTGATGCCCTAGTTCATGTAGATTATACTTGCCAGTAAAACGATCTATTGCATCTTGATGGGGTATAAGCAATTTGTTATATGCACGAAGCTATCATCAAAAAGTTTGTCACTTTACGCATGAGTCGCGTTTTCTCATTTCTAGCCGTTGGGTCGTGATCTGCTTGACCAATATACGAATGTCCATGCCGTTAGGTGGTTTCAGACTTCTGTTACACACACCACGCTACGCACGCACACACGCAACACGACACACAGCAAATGCGCACGCCACACACACACACGACGGCGCCGCGCGCCATAAACCACACACATCAAACACATACACTACACGCACACACAGAACACCACACATAACACTACACGCACACACAGACGACACACAGCATAATACACACACACTACGCACGCACGCACGCCGCACAGCACACACAACGTGCGCATACACACACAACTAAAAAAATAAGATAGCTTGTTACGACGCGCTATAACGACTTAATAATGAGTGTGACCATTTGTGCCTACTTTATGTAGAACCTACCTAATGTCAAGAATCACCACCGACACAGTCAATAGTCATACCAAAGTTCCACCAAGTGTTTGGTTAATATTGTCTTTCGACTCGATAGCTATGGTTGCTTTCCTTACTACAAATTTGTAGACATCTTCTAAACAGGGCGTTGATATTAACCTTGAAGTCACCATGATATGAGGATGGAACAAGGTCAAAACATCACCACCGTCAACATGTTCAAAAATCACACCGCAACGACCAGAGTCAAAATGTCAAAATCACCACCGACACGGTAACTGTCCCAGAAGTATGCATTGAGCTCATTTATGCTCATTTTTTGTCTACATAAACTTAGAGGAAACTAGGATGAATGCATAGTCATGTCAATTCCAATCAGTCCAGTGTAAGGCGGTCTGTGCCTTGAGGAAAACAATCTGTATAGGCTAGTCAAATCACCACCGCAACGGCACACAAATTATGACTTTTCATAAATTAGTCTGCGACAGTGAACCCTAAACATGTTTTTCCTAGTTTATCATGTTGCGAACTGACATTCAAGCAAAATCCAATTTCTTAATAATATGTCACAAGATTACATTAATGTGCAATATGTTGATGTCAAGAATCACAACCGAACAGTGTTGCTTGGGTGTAGTCATTAGACAATTTCCGAGTTTATGTGCGAAATGTTATGTCAGGCTTATGTTTTCCTGAAAATTTAGGTATTTTTTCTTCAAAGGTAACAGGTTTACACACAAAAATTTCGACTTTTTAAATTTTTATTCCATGTCACACTTATTTGACACTGCACTGTGGAACAGACCCATATATATATTGATTTCACATCTTGTCCACTCAAAGCAGTCTCCAGATGACTCTGCTCGTTACAGTCTTCCTGTTCCATAGCGATCATGTGTTGCAGGCTATGATGGTGTGACGTGTGTGATCGTGACTGTGGTATTTTGCAGGCTATGATGTGTCGTGACCGTGTGATTGTGACTGTGGTATCTTGCAGGCTATGATGGTGTGACGTGTGTGATCGTGACTGTGGTATCTTGCAGGCTACGATGGTGTCACGTGTGTGATCGTGACTGTGGTATCTTGCAGGCTATGATGGTGTGACGTGTGTGATCGTGGCTGTGGTATCTTGCAGGCTATGATGGTGTGACGTGTGTGATCGTGGACTGTGGTATCTTGCAGCTATGATGGTGTGACGTGTGTGATCGTGACTGTGGTACTTGCGCGTATGATGGTGTGACGGTGTTGATCGTGACATGTGGTATCTTGCAGGCTACGATGGTGTGACGTGTGTGAGCGTGGCTGGGTAATCTTGCAGGCTATGATGCTTGACGTGTGTAATCGTGACTGTGGTATCTTGCAGGCTATTGGATGGTGTGACGTGTGTGATCGTGACTGTGGTATCTTGCAGGCTATGAATGGTGGACGTGTGTGATCGCTGACTGTGGTATCTTGCAGGCTAAGCGATGTGGACTGTGTGTGATCGTGACTGTGGTTTCTTGCAGGCTATGATGGTGTGACGTGTGATGTAATCGTGACTGTGGTATCTTGCAGGCTACGATGGTGTGACGTGTTGTGATCGTCGGGCTGTGGTATCTTGCAGGCTATGATGGTGTGTGACGTGTTTAATCGTGACTGTGGTATCTTGCAGGCTATGATGGTGTGACGTGTGGTGATCGTGACTGTGGTATCTGCAGGCTATGATGGTGTGACGTGTGTGATCGTGACTGTGGTATCTTGCAGGCTCGAACGGGTGTGACGTGTTATCGTGACTGTGGTTTCTTGCAGGCTATGATGTGTGACGTGTGTAATCGTGCGCTGTGGTATCCTGCAGGCTAATGATGCTGTGACCGTGTTGAATCGTGACTGTGGTTTCTTGCAGGCTACGAGGGTGATACGTGTGAGGCCCGGGTGAGTGAATGTGCGAGCACGCCCTGTATGTTCGCGGGCACGTGTGTGGACACGCCGGCTGGATACCGCTGCATCTGCAGGCTGGGATTCACCGGCGACCACTGCGAGGGAGTGGAAGAGAGCTGCGGTGCAGACAACCCGTGCAGCGAGAACGCCATCTGCATTCAGAACGATGCCGGTAAGCGCCTCCTAGTGGGACTAATTTCAGCCACTGTCAGCCAGTCACTGTCACAGTCACTGTCACTGTCACTGTCACTGTCACTGTCACTGTCACTGTCACTGTCACTGTCACTGTCACTGTCACTGTCACTGTCACAGTCACTGTCACTGTCACTGTCACTGTAACAGTCACTGTCACAGTCACTGTCACTGTCACTGTTACTGTCACTGTCACTTCAGCCACTGTCAGCCACTTCAGCCAGCTGTCAGCTGTTCTCTCGCTGTCTGGGGGGCATTCTAGAATAGAAAGTGGCAGCTTGTGGTCATACTGGTCCTTATACAATTGAGCTATCCATATTGTGTGATTGACAAGTAGCACTAGACAATTGTTGTTGCGGTAGGGTGATCTAAAATACAATGCTTGGCAAATGAATGCCACATGAAGTTTTCATGCATTTATAAAATACATGTATGAACTGATCTAACTTTACGAATCTAGGAACAATATCCAAGTGGTTGTCGTCATCTTGTCAAGACAGGTTGGGCAATTTCGCTGTTAACCTAACAAATGACTGTGGACAAAATTTTGAGTGAGCTTCTTTTCAATGGAAATAAAATTGAATGAGGAACTTCTTCTAACGATTGCTCGTTATTTGATGTCATTAGGTAAAAGACAATGCTTCTGTAAAGATGGATACTATGGCCTCTCCTGTCAGTACGAAGTCAACGAATGTGCATCGTCACCGTGCTACAATGGCGCTACCTGCTTTGACGGGAGCGGAACATATCGATGCTATTGTCCTCCAGGTTAGCCGGCTCTTTATTCACGATTGTTCTTTTTAAAATTTCTATTCTACTTGCCTTTACTTGCTATTCTTTACTTTCTTTTCAGTCGATTAACGATTAATATAGCAAAATAGTTTGAAACTGTTAGCAGCGTCCCCATGTTCGTGTCTTCCCTCCTGTGGTTACCTCTCTCTACTATGTAAAGATAACATCCTAATATCGCTACTCGTGTGTAAACATGAACATCCACCCTCAGGTTACACGAGTGCCGACTGTTCGGTTGACATTGACGAGTGTAGGAGCGCCCCCTGTAGGAACGGTGGCACGTGCGCGGAGCCCGCAGTGGGAGAGTTCACATGCGAGTGCGCGGCAGGCTGGACTGGCGCCACCTGCGGGGATAACGTGGATGATTGCGCGGCGCGGCCGTGTAACGTGACGCACACACGGTGTATCGATGTCGTCGATAGCTTCAGGTGCGTGCCTTCTCATCCCCCTGAATCACTGCCATGTGCGTGCGTGCGTACGTGCATGCATGGTTACGTGTGTGGGCGTGTGTGCGTGTGTCAGAGGGAGAGAGAGACAGTATTAGAGTGAGAGAGAGAGAGTGAGTGAGTGAGTGTGCGTGTGTCAGAGGGAGAGAGAGAGACAGTATGAGAGTGAATGAGTGAGTGTGCGTGTGTGCATGCGTATGCCGGTCTGTGTCCCGTTGCTAACATGCAGAGGTTTGTTGCAGGTGTGTGTGTCCCGATGGATTCGCAGGACCACTGTGCGACACACCAATAGACTACTGCGTTGACCTTTCTCCGTGCATGAACGGTGGCACATGCCTGACAACTGCATTAGGATCTTACTCCTGCAGGTTTGTAGCTTTGTAACCAGGTTATCGGTGCTTAGTTAATCTCTAATATTATTTGCTGTGATTGATCAATGCATTTGTGTTACTATAATCTGTGATTGGTCTATCTATGTTGTTATCACTTGTGATTAGTCCGTCTATGTTACCATTGTCTATGATTGGTTTCTCTATATTATTATCTTCTGTGATTGGTTCATCTATATTTCCATTGTCTATGATTGATCACCCTACATTATTATCTTCTGTGATTGGTTCATCTATATATTAGAATTGTCTGCTTGCAATGCTAAAAGTCTACACCTAAACGGATTGTTGGAAAAAATGTTCAAACAATCAAAAAATGTTCAAACAATCATTGTTGGAATTTCAGATTGTCTATTCATATTTTTGTAAAATAGTGATAATCTACTGTTGATGATATGTGGCTTCATTGGTTTGTTATTATCAATAAATAGAATAACATGATAGAGGCATGATGACAAGTGAACATTCATGGATGTGAGTGTACTGTATAGCATCTTGTGTTGCAGGTGTCGCTATCCGTACGATGGTGAAAATTGCGAGGAGGACGTCGATCCGTGTTTTACCTCCATCTGTGCCAATGGTGCCACCTGCAATAACAATCCGCTATCACCACGTGGTTTCACATGTTATTGTCCACCAGGATTCATAGGTTTGTGTTCTCTTCTATTGTCAATTATTGGATCACGTCAGAAACATGAAATTATCACTGGCCAGTGGTCCCTAGCGGATGTAAAAATGTAATTGGGCAGGAAAAAGTTGGCTCCAGCAAGCAATTTTTTACTTTCTCACTTGTCAAACCAGCAGTTTTCAGTAATTTTTTGTCTCCAGTCTCAAAAATAACTATAATTTATTGTTAACTACTGACATTTATTGAGTTAAGTTGCATTTGTCCTAGGCAATTGTCCATTTTCATGGATGGAAAATCGCCTGGGCTTTTGGGAAAACCATGTAGTTCCAACATTTATTACGTGACTGGCCACAATTAAAAAAATATTTGTTTGCCTTCACCCGACCCAGGCTGAAAGGTTTAGGTAGGTAGGTAGGCTTCTTTTTTTGAGGGGGGTCTTTTTACAAATTCAGCATGGTGTCTACATGCTCGGGTGTGCCTGTGTGGAGATACGTTTTATGTTGAATGTTTGTTTTGTTTGGTACATATAGTGTATTGCCTACAGATTTATATAATGTACAGTGATACAATTTGTAAAAAAAAAAAAAAAAAAGAATGGGAAAGATCAATAAAAAATGTTGAGTCGGCCCCTTTTTGGCGGGTCGGTTGGGCGAGGGCAAACAAACAATATATGTAATATGTTTATTACATGACTCTACATCTTTCTCTCTCTCTCTCACTGAAGGTGACACTTGTGAGATAGACGTGTTTGACTGCTTATCCTCACTGTGTCGCAATGGAGCTACGTGTATAGAGGGCGCCGGTGGGCAGGTGTTTTGCGCGTGCGCCGACGGCTATGAGGGCGAGCGATGTGAGAGCAGGGCGACAAACTGCAGTGGCGCCCCCTGTGCTAACGGCGGCCATTGCACGGCGACTGACGTCGATCCAGGTATCTGGTTGTCTGCATATGTTTGTATGCCTATCTATCTAGTGTCGCTTTGCCTGCGCAACTGATTATTATAATATATATATATAAAATATGTAAATAGATATAAATATATACTATCTTGGCACTGAATTGGCCTTATTATCCTTATTATATTAATATCTTAATATCTGATAGTTCAATGCTCAGGTTGACCAATATGGCAGTCAAATGGCATCACACAATTCTTACAATGTGCAAATAATATATTATATATAGATGTATAATCTGTAGATCTGTGGTCAAGGAGTGCAAGAGTTGGGTTGGGAACGGGCAGGCCATTTTGGTGGCTTTTTTTTATCTAGACATGAAAATTTCGTGTCTATCGGCTATTTGCTGATAAAGACACTTTACGATGCATAATTAGAACTGCCTAGCATTGCTTTTGCTACATTTTATTTGATTCTTGTCGTATTTTCATTGTATTGCTCTTAACCATTTAGTAGATCTGTGTGGGTTGGCTGCCTTTCCACAGATCCTTGGTCTTACTTTATTGATAGATCATTGCGTAATGAATCTGTTTTAGATCCAGTAATTTGTTATTGGTAGTCAGATCAAATCTGCTTTCACGGTTGCAACATAAGTTTATGTGTTTCTCACGCGCGATTTGTGCGACAGGCTACGTGTGTGAGTGTCCACCGGGTTGGGAGGGCGCCACCTGCCAGCGTGACGTGAATGAGTGCAAGATGGCGTCACGTGCAGCAATGCGTCACTGCGTGAACACTCCGGGTGGCTACGCGTGTCTCTGTCGCCATATGGACGGGTCAACACTGTGAAGTGGACATTGAGGAATGTCATGGGCATGCCTGCATGTATGGGCAGCTGTGTGGAACAGCAAGGTATGCCATGCACGGGCGGTCTGACATATACTGTAGTGTTGCGAATCTATGTATACTACTGTAACATGTATTGTGTAAGACTATGCTTAACAGCAAGGTGCGAAATACATGTAATCTAATGTATACTGTATAAGCTGTATATTTCGCGGTGGTTTAAGTTGTTACGCGCGAGATTCGCTCCCCGACGGAAACAGAAAACACAACGAAATCATTCGTACCAGAATAATACACGAATAATAATAATCGAGCCCAGACGCCGGAATTACCCACGAAAGTGTCGCCGAAATTGTCGTCATGGGAGCTCTGAATTCGCAAATATATCTGTACCGCGAAAAATACGGATTAAATACGTAATCAGCGCAACAGCAAGCTTATGATATACATCGTTTACTTTAACACATACTCTTGTGTAACGGCAGAGAAATGACATTGTTTAATCTAACATATACTCTGTCTAACTGCAAAAGAATGAAATATATATATATATATTATATATAGAGAAAGACTAGAAGAACTAATACAGTAGCTTCATTATGTGTTAGGTTAATCTAACATTTACTCTGTGTGACAGTAAGACTGATGTTTTCGTTTATTCGTTGGTTGTTGTGCAGGGAGGGACTACGCGTGTGAATGTCTGGATGGATACACCGGCTTGAACTGTGAGAGTGAATTGGATGAATGTGAGAGCAGCCCCTGTAAGCACAACAGCACCTGCGTGGATGGTCTGGCTTCATACACCTGCGTGTGCGCAGCATCATTTGAGCGAAGGTGTGTTTTCGCGTTGTTTACAGGTTGTGTTCGTTGTTTACAGGTGTGTTAGTTGTTTAACAGGTGTGTTTGTTGTTATCAGCGGTGTGTTTGTTGTTTAGCATGGTGTGTTAGTTGTTAGGCTAGGTGTGTTAGTTGTTTATGGTATGGTTAGTTGTTTTTACAGGTGTGTTAGTATGTTTATAGCGTGTGTTAGTTGTTTTATAGGTGGATGTGTAGTTGTTTACAGGTGTGTTTGTTGTTTACAGGTGTGTTTGTTGTTTACAGGTGTGTTAGTTGTTTACAGGTGTATTTGTTGTTTACAGGTGTGTTTGTTGTTTACAGGTGTGGTTAGTTGTTTACAGGTGTTTTGTTGTTTACAGGTGTGTTTTGTTGTTTACAGGTGTGTTTGTGTTTAGCAGGTGCTGTTTTGTGTGTTTACGAGGTGGTGTTTGTTGTTATTACAGGTGTGTTAGTTGTTTATAGGTGTGTTAGTGTGTCTGTGACGTTGATGTGGAACAGGGTGTCTAAGTCTTCTGTAAGCTGCTGTGTAGGTAGTGTGCTGTTCATGTGGGGATCTATGTGCATGACTACTTGACTTCACATGCACAGAGTTCAAAAGTTCAATTTGAATTTCAATTTTACTGGCAAGAATCAAATACAAGACTTAGTGTAGCAAGCCTGGGAGGAACTGCATATGTCATCATTGTAGGCTCTAATACAGTGGTGGGCAAACTTTTCAGAGCGAGTGCCGCATCAGTGGGCCATGAAAAGTCAAAGGGCCGGCACCTAGTTTAAGAATCGGGAGGCGGTGACGCTCTAAGATAATACGTGCGTTTCGCCTCAAGGGCGCCATCTCTGGACCATAATTAGCTGAAATGGCATTGCAGAGCGAACCCAGAGACAATAGAACACTAATCTGTATGACACTGAAAAAGTCAGCCTCGGTTCAAGCACAAACATGTTGACTTTCACAAAAATTTATTGATTTTTTTAATGTTTTTTATTTTTAATTTGCTGCAGGCTTCCGCGGGCCGCACAGAACCCCGTAGAGGGCCGCATGCGGCCCGCGGGCCACAGTTTGCCCACCCCTGCTCTAATACTATGTAATGCAAGGAAAAACTGACTTTGTCATTGCTGTGTAATGTTGTTGTGCAGGGCAACACTGTGAGAATTCCGTAGATGCATGCACCAGTAAGCCCTGCCTGCGTGGAACCTGCCTCTCACTGCCTGACGGCACCTACAAGTGCTCCTGTGACTGGGTAAGAGTCAGAAACTGCAGAAACAGGCGCAAAGCATTTGTGTGCCCTCATGAACTTAATTCCATTTGTAGTCATAAGTAGATTTCCATCATGAAACAATAAGCTTCCACCATAAGCTGCAATACATCGATGGTATCAGTAAATGCTCGAAAAAACCATTCTGAGCCCTTGCAAATGGTATAATAATGAAGTGATTTCTGGATTTTACAACAGCAATCGCTGTCGAATGTTTATGTAGCGATTTTGCAAGTCTGCATGCAGAAATTTCATTCTTGTTTTATCGACCTTTCATTTTTTTCCATTTTTTATAAAGCACATCATAGTACTAGTCCAAAAGTATGCTGAAAGAGTGACAAGTTGTTTTTTGGGAGGAAATAAAACTAAAAAGAACCTGATAAGACTGCGACAAGTCAAAACTAGTTCTTCCCTAACTATAATTGCTAATGTTGCACGAACTATTTTTGACATTTTTTTATTTTTAACCCAGTAGAACAACAACCTATAGTGTCTACCCAGGCCCCCTGTTTAATTTCTTATCTGCCAACTTGATGAGTTTAGGTTATAAGGTGAGTAAATTATAACGTAGGACAATGCATGATATTTCACGGCTATGGATGGAGGTCATACACTAATCACTAATCGATTGGTCGTTGCTCTGCAGGGGTTCACAGGTCCGGACTGTGACACAGAACTACTCGAGACGTCAACCTATGTGGAGACGAGCAGTGAGGGTGACAATGACAGTGACAGTGGTAGCACGTGCGAGCGGGGCTGCGTCAACGGAGGCACGTGCGTGATTACTGCCACGGGGGCTGCGTGCCACTGCACCCACGATTTCACTGGCTGCGCTTATGTGCTTTTATCAAGCTTATATTGCCTTTGTTCAGAATTTGTCTCTCTATGAAACAAATACTGTCGTCAGCTACATGCTATTTGTATCTCGAATTACATTGCCAATAAAGATTAATTAATAACATAATAATAATAATAAGTATGTAGATAAATAATAATAGTATGGGTAGCGTCACCCGCTGCATGAGGGAGGGGAGGAAGAAAGCGAAGGGGGAGAGGTACCTATGGGCTGAGCTTCATTTGTGGCATTGAGGGAGGGGGGGGAGCCGAAAGAAAAGTAGGGGGGAGGAAGAAAGGTAAGGGGGAGGGTGGGACCTATGGCTAGCCTTCAGTTGTGCATTGAGGCGAGCGGGGAGGAAGAAAGTAAGGGGGAGGAAGAAAGAAGGCGGGCGGAGGTGGGTACCGTATTGGCGTACGCCTTCAATTTGCCGGTGCATGGAGGGAAGGGGAGCGAGCAAAGGAAGGGGGGAGGCTGGTACCTATGCGCTAGCGATCACCCGTTGCGATTGAGGGAGGGGGGAAGAAAGGAAGCGGGGACGGCTGGGACCTATGCCTAGCTTCATTTGTGCATTGAAGGAGCCGGGCAGGCAAGAAGGAAGGGGCGGCGGATGGTAGCCTATGCGCTTAGCCTCACCCGTGCCGTGAGGAGTGGGAGGGAAGAAAAGGAAGGGCCGGAGGTGGTACCTATGGCTTAGCTTCATTTTGTGTAGTGGAGGGAGGCGGGGAGCGAAGAAAGGAAGGGGGGGGTGGGGTTACCTATGGCTACCTCACCCGTGCTTGAGGGAGGGGCAGGAAGAAAGGAAGATGAGGTAGGTACCTACGGCTAGCGTCACCCGTGCGTTGAGGGAGGGGAGGAAGAAAGGAAGATGAGGTAGGTACCTACGGCTAGCCTCACCAGTGCAGCGAAGGAAGGGAGGGGGAAAGGAAGGGGGAGATGGGTAGGTATAGCTGGACTGCAGTGAGGGAGGGGAGGGTGTGGTCAGTGAGTATCTTCTGCATAGCAGATAGTTGACATACATGTGCATCTCCTCGTTGACAGGTGACAGCTGTGAGCGTGTGCGGGGATGCGCGTCTAGCCCCTGCGCAAACGGCGCCACCTGCATTGACAATGCTTCCGTCGCCCCGTGCGCAGACGGTGGCTCCACCTGTGTGGATACAATTCCGGGTGTTGTTGGCGATGAAGATTTTTACTGCAACTGTTCAGAGGGATACACAGGTGTGGATGTTATCATTGGTTGTATGTGTTAGCGTAGTATAGTCATAGGTAATAACCTAGTTTATTGTCAGCCGAATCGTGAAGGAGAGTGTGAGAGAGAGTGAAAGAGTTGTGTGTGTGTGTGAATGTGTGCGTGTGTGCGTGTGTGTGTGCGTGCGTGTAGTGCGTGCGTGCGTGCGTGCGTGCGTGTGTGCAAGAGAGATAGAGAGATAGGAAGTTAACGAGAGAGCAGGAGAAAGAGGTCATGAGAGCGAGAGAGGGCTACAAGGAGAGAGGTTTTGCTCTTGTAGATTGCATTGCCTCGATTCTCACGTTGTTGTATACTTAAATGTATTGTATTTTATTTAAAGTAATAATCATAAATAATTGTATACGTCATGCAGGTGCGTTGTGCAGTGAAGAAGTGTCTGTGGATTTCTGCGCGGTGGGACCCTGCGTTCATGGTGACTGTGTCAACCTAAATAACTCTTACAGCTGTCTCTGCTATCTGGACTTTAGCGGTGAGTCTTATATGCAGGCATGAGAATCTTCCATGGATTTCCAGTTATTTCCCATTAATCCTTGTTGCAATCAATATAAATCCATTGAAAATATTTGGGGGGTGATTCCTATTGTATAATATGCAGGCATGCAGCATGCCGTCAATATTTCCGACTGTGTCCAAAGGCCAGTAACAGGAAAATTAATTTCATTTTAATCGGGTACTATTTCGGGAAATTTAAGGATCTTCATAGTTTCGGATTCTCGTGCCTGTATGTGTGATATGCGTGTATGTGTGGTTACTCAACAGCAGCTGCATGTGGATCTGATGCGTCAATAGTTGCTGCAGATGCATGTGGAATGTTTGCTGCTGTGCACTGATCAATAAATCTAATAAAGCTATGACACAACGAAGCGTAAAGGCGCCGCCTGTCTGTGTAGATATGCGTAATTATTTATTTATTTTTAGTTGAGTAGTAATTTATGAATGTTTTCTCATAAAATGAATGCATGCTGCGGTATGCGCTGGAAACACCTGGGGAACATTTCGACGGTGCGTTGTACGGCACCTCGTCAGCTGCGGGTAAGTTGCCAAGCGTTTTACGTAATTTATTAGCATGATGAATCGCACTCTAGAACTCGGCCTCGCTGCGTACGCCGATAATAGGTTTACGCAATTACTAAATAACTGCGTTGATAAATTGCAACTAAGCAACGTCGATTGCGTACACAAGATTTACGCAATAATTTTGCGTAGGCCTACGCAGGCTTTGATGAATCATGATCGAATCTACCCCCTGGACCCACCCGTCAGTGCAAGCGCACACGTATCAGAGAGTCTACAGTTTCCAGGGGCTGTAACAGGGGGGTCCAGGGGGTCCGGACCCCCCCCCCCCCTGCTCGCGCAGAAAACGCATCTTGAGGGGTCTAATTTCAAAAAGTTGCTGGTGTACAGCCCCCCAGACCCCCCTTCGCGTGCCTTTGTACACGCTCCTGGTTTCGCCCCCACTAAGAAAATACCCTGGCGCCGCCCCTGAACACATGTGTTGTATATATCTATGGTCCGTCTATGTTAACATCGTCTATGATTGGTTCCTCTATACTATTATCTTCTGTGATTGGTTCATCTATATTTCCATAACTGCCTATGATTGATCACCCTACAATATTATCGTCTGTGATTGGTTAATCTATATATTAGAATTGTCTGCTTGCAATGCTAAAAGTCTAGACCTAAACGAACTCCATTGTTGGAATTTCAGATTGTCTAATCATATTTTTCTAAAATAGTGATAATCTACTCTACTGTTGATTGTCATATATCATATGTTGCACTACTTTCTTACGCGTATGGTCACGTCTGTGTACTGGGTGTAAACAGTCGGCGCGGAAGGTTTACCCGGCATGTTGTAATTAACCTAATGCGTTTACATAATGCCTTCTCGTGCCACACGGTCCACACCTACCAAGCTTTACATGGTGGCAGAGGTAAACCAGCCGTGAGCGCAAGAGTGACTGGTGAGTCGGATTCATGTGTTTTCCCGGCATGCACACGGCATATTTGACAACACGTGATTTTCGGCCTGCCTCGCGGCTGTTGACGAGTACAGTGCAAGTTACACGCCGCTGTGTACACACGCGAGCGACTCCGTGGTGCAGTCAGGATTTACACACCGATACAACGGATGGCAGCACTGTCCAGCAACACCGGCGCGCCGCTGTGCACAGGCACTTGAAGCGTTTCAATAAAATATAATGCTAAATAAATACGAAATCTATTACTACCAATCTTAATGTTTATTGGTTTTTTGGACCCATGTTCTCTATCCTCGGGGCCCATGGCGGCAGCCAGTGTTTTTTTCGTAGATGAGCCACATTAAGCATTTGGTGGCCCAAGGATTCAAGATTGAAGGCCGCGGCGCGGTTCAATGATAGAGAACATGGGTCCCAATAAACACAATGTCATTTACCATTCAATATAATATATATTAATGCAATATATAGGTGTAGGGTTAGGGTTTAGGATTAGGGTTAGGGTTATAGGTTTAGGCACATTGGTTTCATTGGGACCCAGGTGCATGTTCTGCTATCCTTGAACCGCGCCATGCTCACGCCGGCTGCACTGTCCACAATGACACTTTATATATATAACGGAATACGCAGGTAGGAAAGCGGGCTGCCAAAATTCGCTCGACGCGTCGCCTTGATTTCACGCTCTCGTCTAATAACTTGTATATACCAGTCGTCATGTTACGCTTGACTGCGTTCGCTACACTGACGGTGGGTAGACTCTGTCTGCGACGAGTAGGCCCTAGCGGCCTGTTACAGCAGGAGCCGGTAATCATTAACGTTGGCTCTCACAGCACGAATACACATCCAACAGCTTCCATCTTTGTTCTATTTCAAGAACAGTGTTCACTTGTTATAAAAACACTGTCGTAACCGAGCTGTGTCACGCGACTAACACAAGACTGACGAAATTCTCACGTTTGCTTCCCTTGCCCAGCTTATGTAAATGGCTGCCAGAATCGGCGAAACACCCGCCTGCGCGCGCGTGGATTTTTTTCCTAGGTCAATCAAGAACATAGGGCTCTAGTGAGCGTTGCTACTTGGTTGAGCTTGTTTCCGTCGCTCAATGACGTCACAGTGTCGTCATATACATAGACATCCACAATTTTCAGTTCCGATGTTACAATAACCTAGCTGCGCGAGTACAGCGCGAGCCTCAAGTATGAAAGGTCGGTGGATCGAATCCCATCCGTTTCTAATTATTTTCCTATTTTCTGTATTTTCTATCTTTACGCGTTAACTTTTTTCCAATCTTTGGCCCATATCTTGTTATTTTGCAGGTCTGTGCGCTTCAGCAGCAGTGGTGTGATATTCGACGATGCTATGTTGCTGGCTGGCGTGGCGCAGGTCGAACTTCATTCACCAGGAGTGCGCTTCAGTCTACAGCAGGCTTTCACCGGATGTCTCAGGTGGGGTGTAATTATCTCCGCCAGGGGGGCTTGGCGAGGTTATGTTTTCACCGGCGTGTGTTTGGTGTTCGGTTTGGTGGGTTCGTTAACATGCGCCGGTTTCAGTGTTCATCTTCGCTAGGTGCGCTGGTTGTAGGACTTACAAACACGCAACCACAGGCTAAGGGCAACACAGTCCTCCCTACCTGCACGCTCGCACTAATCCGGATCCAGATTAATTAATTAATTAATTACTTAATTTTTCCACTTAATTAATTACATTAATTAATAAAAAATCCACATTGAGAGAATTCAGCTGCCTTGGGCGGAGTTGTGCTCTCCGAGTGCTCTAGTGTTTGAAATAAGTTCATTAGATTTCGTTGAAAAACTACATCCTGATGAGACTTTACCCGAGAAAGATCGAACATTTT